AACTATCATGTGCCAGGTACTGCTTACTCATTTAATCATCCCACCAAGTTTCTAAAATAACTACTATTACTATGATCCCTCTTCTAAGATGCGAAAATTAAGACAGAAAGGTTAAGTAATTTGTCCACGGTCACACAGTGAGCTAGTAGCAGAGCCAAGTTTAAGCCAGTGAGTTTGATTTTAAGTCACTACACTATAATTCAGCTAATCCAAATGCACAGAGCTCTGGGAAGAAGTACAGAATCTTAAAAAGATGTTTTAATCTCTGAAAAAAGTAAGATTTATGATGCTTTATTAACAAATGTATTGAAGTGCCATTTCCATACCCTAGACATCTTCTAGAGAACTTGTGTGTGTAAGAAAGACAAGCCCAAGTGGTGATGGTTGCACGACAATGTGAATGTATTACTGCCACTGAATTGTACACTTGAAAATGGTTAAAATGGAAAAATTTGTCATGTATATTTTACCACAATTTTTTTTAAAAAAGGATAACAGTAAGACAGACAAACTCTAAGTCTTGGTCTTCTATTCCTTTGTTCAGTTATCCATATTTCATTCCTTGGACTATCTGGGGCAGCAAATTGGTGACACTATCATTTCTCACCCTGTTCATAAAATACATTAGGTTTTTCAACCTTTGTTCAATACTAGTGCATATACAGTAAGCTCTTCCTATGTGTAGAGCGCTGAATTGGGAAAGCAAAGGTGAATAAAACAATGTCTATCTTCCATAATAGCTATGATTACTATTATTTCTTGACCCCATTCATCCCTCATGAACTTTCTAAGGTCAGTGTTATTATTCACATTCAATAGATGAGGAAATCAAAGTTCAGAGAAAAGTAGATCTTGCCATCATCCCAAGCCTAGGAAGAGTTGGGAATTCAGGACTGAAACCTAGGTCTCTCTAACTCCAAATCCCATGCTTTTGATCCCAAGGCTATTACTGTCTGTAACTCCATATAAAGTAATGTAATTTCTGTAACTGCTGGGCAGGGTGATGCTGCAATGAGCTCACTAAGTGCCACAAGAGCCCCAAGGAGCACGGAAAGAATCCAGATAGGGATGCCTTGGAGGAGGAGGCATTTGAGTTAAGCCTGGAAGGTGGAAGAAAAATAGAGACACCTGCAGTAAAACTTAAACTTTTATCCTAGTACGCCTCATTCTCAAGGGAAACTCAAGCCAAGTTTCCAAGAGGAAATTGCGTGCCATTTTACTTGTAGTCAGCATTTCATACTTCTTCTTATTCAGAACACAATTACTGAGGGCATGCTGATGGTGAGCTGATAGTAGTGGAAAAAATAAACATTCCTTCCAGCCTCTTTCCTGATTGGTTGCGATCAACTTGGTCAACAAGAAGAGCCAATCAAAACCTACTACCTCCCTGGTGACCAAGGGGAAATATCAAACTGTTCCACTTTAGTTCCGTCTTGGGAGGGGGCTGGGGGTGGTGTCAGTAGCTGGCTTTCCTTTACATCCAGGCTCTGGTCCAAGTGTCCCAAGTAAAAACTCGTGAATTAAAGAACGGGCGGACATAAGTGATAGGGGAGGTGGGTGTATTTGCTGGAAAACAGCTTGATGCCTTGAAACTTTCACTCCAATCCCTAGTCCTGAGGTAGCGGACTCTTTTGATTAGCTACACCACGCCCAACGTCCAGGACTCTCTCCCTTCCTCACTCCATACTTTAATCCACACACTTCGGACCTTCCCAGAAATAGCCTTCTTCTGGGTATATGGGAGCATGGTGCAGCTAAGTTCTGAAGGGGAAGGCTTTTCCTGGTAAGGATCCCAGCAGAGATCTCCAGATAAGAGACTGGCAGGAGACTGTAGCTGGACAAGTGAAGTGTGACTTATCTTGTAGTCACGCTACTGCAGACTGATCTAGTTTAACATGTCTCTTTTCTTATTGAATAAAAGTGGCTAAAAAAAAAAAAAGGGGGTATAGTTCAGTGGTACAGCATATGATTAGCATGCACAAGGTCCTGGATTCTATTCCCACTACCTCTACTAAAAAAAAAGAGAGAGAGAGAAGCAGAACTTTCAATATTTAATTTAGAAAAGTTGGAAAATACAGAAACACACAGTCTTTTATAATCTATAACTACCATTAAAATTTCAACAAATCAGTATGTTGTACACCTTAAACTTACACAATGTTATATGTCAATTATATCTCAGTTAAAACAATTTTAGTAATTGTAGAATAGATAAACAAGATTACACTGTATAGGAAAATATACACAAAATGTTATGATAACTCACAGAGAAAAAAATGTGACAATGATTGTGTATATGTCCATGAATGACTGAAAAATTGTGCTGAACACTGGAATTTGACACAGCATTGTAAAATGATTATAAGTCAATAAAAAATGTTAAAAAAAAACAACTTTAGTGTATATCCTTTCACTTTTCTGTGTGCAATTATTTTTCAAAAATTAGATTAAGATTACAACTTGCTATTTTCACTTAACAATACATCTATCTTTCTTTCATATCATTAAATAGTCTTTGACAACTTGATGTTTAGTGGCTAGATGACAATTCTCTTCCATGAATATACCACGTTTATTTAACCAATTTATAGTTGCTGGACATCTAACTCATTTCCAGTTTTTTGCTATTGTGAATAATGCTGCATTGAAGAGCCTTATAAATAAATTTTTGAACATATTTATAATTATTTCCTTAGGGTGAACCCATATGTTTAAATTCACCTCTTCCCCAGTCTATAAACCCCAAAGGCCTTCCATCCCACTTTCTTATCTAACTGTTTGAGGCAAGAAGCCAGGTAATTCTGGGATGACAAAACTTCAAAGTTCCACAAGATGGTGATATTTCCTAAAAGAGTTCAACAAAATAGCGTTAGGCTGGCAAGGGAACAAGGTTAAAGGCGTTAAGTATTTTTAATGCTGCCTCCCAAAAAAGGAATCAAAAGAAGTGGAAAGGTCTTTCCTTTAGAGGATAGTTTGTTGTCTCTAGGACAAAAAATAGAGAGAAAGCTGCCTTTGATTTAGCATTTGATTCAATAATTTTTCAAAATGGCAGCATAAGACTTAGCCTTGTCTGTAAAATTCTACAATGAGTCAAATGACGTGAAATATCACTGATATCAATGTATGCAAAGAGGGAGTCCAGTTAAGATGGCAAGATTCTCCAAACTGATCTTTATGTTCAGTGCAATCACTATCAAAATCCTCGCTGCCCTTTTTATGGAAATCAACAAGCTGATCCTAAAAGTCATGGAAATGTAAGGGACTCAGGACAGCCAAAATAATATTGAAAAAGAACAATGAAATTGGATGGGAATTCTAGGTCTGGAGCAGAAAGTCCTTATCAAATCAGTAAGAAAAATGTTTCTTGTATCACAGTGAAAAACTGTGAATGACTTAAATCTCAGTCAGAAACATACAGTTATAGACATGACCACATGAAGGAAAAGAGAGAGAACAGTGTTAAAATATTTTGCCATTTATGTTTAAAATAAATACATTGTATTTATATATATTAGAAGATACTGGACCTTTTTAATAATAAGTAATTTTTATTTAATATTTTAAAGTTACAATAATATGGGCTCTGTATAAAATGAAACAAAGAATACAGTCGTGTGTATTCAAAATTCCAACACTGGGTGCAGCAAGACTTAATACAGAGCTATAGTGGTCATATTACAGTAGACAAATAGATCAACGGAACACAATAGAAAGCCCAGAAACAGAGCCACACAAATATAATCAACCAATTTTTGACAAAGGAATGAAGGCAATTCGAAGAGAGAGCGCTTTCAATAAACGGTGCTGGAACAACCGGACATGCAAAAAAAAATTAATACAGACACAGACCTTACACTTTTAACAAAAAATTAATTCAAATTGGATCATAGATTTAAATGCAAAATGCAAAACTCTACAACTTCTAGAAGATAACATCGAAGAAAACTAGGTAACCTTAGGTTTGTTGATGATTTGTTAGATATAATATGAAAAGCACAGTTCATGGAAAAAATCTGAAAAGTTGGACTTCAATAAAATTAAAAACTTCTGCTCTGTGAAAGACACTATTAAGAAAATGAAAAGACAAATCATAGACTGGGAGAAAATATTTGTAAAACAAATATCTGGTAAAAGGCTTGCATCCAAAATATACAAAGAACTCTTAAAACACAATAGTAAGAAAACTCAACTTAGGCACATCTCACTTTCCTAGATGACCCCA